TCCCAAAGTGCTGGGATTACAGGCTTGAGCCACGGCGCCTGGCCATCTCATATTTTTATTGGAATTGACTGAGCATTTTGCACATGTGGGTTTATGGTCTCGATCTCCTGACCTCGTGATCCACCCACCTCGGCCTCCCAAAGTGCTGGGATTACAGGCTTGAGCCACTGCGCCTGGCCATGTATTTTTAAGATAATGAAATAATGACATATGTACTGTTTTGTAGACTGCTTTTTTAGCTAGCTACTTCATTTTTCCATTTCAATATATTTTAATCTTTCCTGATACCAAGACCAGATTCAGATTTCGTCAGTTGGACCCAAATTGCCCTTTACCCCTGGTTTGTCCAAACCAATGTCTAATGCATGCTTGGAGCTTGGTTATTATGTCTCTTAAGTCTCTCTTAATTTTAGTCCAGTGCCTTTTAAATGATACTAATGTAAGCTTTCTGTTTATCAAGATAAAATTAACATATAAAATTTGCAATTTTAACCAGTTTAAAGTGTACAGTTTAGTGACTTGTTATATTCACGATGTTGTGTAATCATCAGCACTATCTAATTCCAGAACACTTATAACACCCCAAAATGAAAACTTCTACCTTCCAATCCCTCCCTCTTCCCATCCCCTGGCAATCGCTATCTACTCTGTCTCTATGGATTAGCCTATTCTGGATATTTCATAAAAGTGGTGTGTGTATTTGACTATTTGTGTCTGGCTTTTTTCACTTAGCTTGATGTTGTGGGATGTGTCAGTAATTCATCCCTTTTTATGGCTAAATAATTATTAGGATAGACCACTGAAGGGAAGGCCATGGCCTTACCTTACATTTTCAATATATTTTCTTAATTTGGTTTTTCTAACAAGTCTAAGCAATACCTTTGTCCTCCTCTTGAATAAGACAGGCACTATAGAATTCTTTCACTTCTCTCCAAACTACTTCCTCTCATGTCCCAACTCGTTTATAAATTGCTCAAAATTCATGAACATGGGGTTTTATCAGAATATTTGACCAATTTCTGTTATCACCTTTGCTTCTTGCATACCCCTTTTTTTCTGAGCTCATCCTTTAAGATAGTCTTTCACTGAGGGCCTTTAGGTGGTAAACTGCTTTAGGCTCTGTGTTCTGAAAAGTCTTTATTTCTTTTTTATTTTTTCCAATCAATTTAGAAGTTTATAAATGTCTTTATTTCACCCCTGCTCTTAAATGATAGTTTAGTTGACTATGAAATTAAACATTTACTCAGGGCTTTGAAGATATTATCCTGTTGTCTTCTGGTAATGATTGTTGCTGCTGTTAGGTTCACTGTTGTTCCTTTGAAAGTCCTGTGTCTTTTCTTTCTAGGAGATTTGAGGATTTCTTTCTCTGTGATGGCTGGCTTTCTTGCTCTGATGTGTCTCAGTAAGAGTTTATTTGTCTTACTATAGACTCAGTATGTTTTTTCAGTCCGAGGACTCATGTTTGCCTTCTATGCTGGAAAATTCCTAGTCATGGTATTTATAATATTGCTTCCTTCTTATTGTCTCCTTCTGTTAAGTATGTTGGACACTTGTCCTCCATGCATTCTACCCTCCATGTCTCTTAACTTTTCTTTCATATTTTCTCTGCACTGTGTACTAGCTGCTTTCCTTAATCTGTCTTCCAATTCACTGATTCTCTCCTTGGCTGTATTTATTCTACTGTGTAACCCGTTTCTTAGATACTGTGTTTCAACTTCTACATCTTTTATTCCTACAATTTTTTTAAATCTTCATAGTCTTTTTTTTTAATGGCTTTTGCTTTTTTTCTTATTTTTCTACACATCTTAAACCAAGCTTATCTAACCTGTGGCCCATGGGCTGCATGTAGCCCAGGATAGCTTTGAATTTTACACAAATTCATAAACTTACTTAAAACATTATGAGATTTTTGTTTGCGATTTTTTTTTTCCTCATCAGCTATTGTTAATGTTAGTGTATTTTATGTGTGGCCCAAGACAATTATCCCACGTGGCCCAGGGAAACCAGTAGTTTGGACACCGCTGTAAACAGACTTACTTCAAGTTTCTTTTTTCTTTTTTTTTGAGATGGAGTTTCACTCTGTCACTCAGGCTGGAGTGCGGTCAGTGGCATGATCTCGGATCAGCTCACTACAACCTCCACCTCCTGGGTTCAAGCAATTCTCCTGCCTCAGTCACCTGAGTAGCTGGGGACTACAGGAGTGTGCCATCATGCTTGGCTAATTTTTTTTTTTTTTTTTTTTTTTTTTTTTTTTTCAGTAGAGACAGGGTTTCGCCATGTTGCCCAGGTTGGTCTTGAACTCCTGATCTCAGGTGATCGGCCCGCCTTGGCCTCCCAAAGTTCTGGGATTACAGGTGTGAGCCGCTGTGCCAGTTCTCAAGTTTCTTTTTATTTCACTATTATTTTTAGTTCCCTGGGTGTGGATTCGCCTACTTGTTTTGTCTGTGGGCAGGTGGGCTTTTCCATCTCGTCACTGCACGGCTTCCAGCTGCTGTCCCTTCCCAGGCGCCTGCCTTGCTGTGTGTGCTCCGTGTTGTTGACGCTTTGGTGAGATCACTCCTCACTTTGTCTCGGCTGTGGCCTTTGAACTTCACCAATTCCAGACTGGTTTTGACAGTAATTCCTCTGCTCAGTGTTTCTGCACTATTGTGGAAGCAGATTCTGGCCCGACCCTCATGCAGAGGTCACACTAAGGGTTCTAGTTTGTCACAAGTGATCCTCCCCCTCCTGCCTGTTCAAGTCTTGGTGGTTCCCTTCTTGTGCCCCTGTGGGCAGACATTTTCCAGTCGCTATCCAGCAATGAGACAGCACTCACTTTCTGGAATGGTATCGTTTCCTGCTTTGAGACAGCATCTCTTTTCCCTGAACAGTATCCCAGCTCCAAACGTGTATGCTTCGTTGTTACCTTCCATGGGCCACTAACTTCCATAAGCCAGACGGTTTCGCTCCTGCTAATGCCTGTCTCTGAATTTTTCTTTCTTGCTTTGAAAGTGTTTATTTAACAAATTGAAATCTCTATGTGTTTGAAGGGAGGTGTGAACTTCCTGTATCAGCTCAGTCTGCATTTTAACTGGAAGTCCTTGAATTCTACAATTTTAGGGGTCCAAGACCCTGCGATGCCTGGACTCCGTGATTCTGTGTTTTAATAACTCTATTATCCCGAAATGAGGAGTCTCATATATTTCCTTTTGGATGCTGGCTCCCAGGCAGGTGAAGATAGTTTCTAAGATGTGAAAAAGGTGCTTTCCTGCCTCCTCATTCAATATCCACCCTTGTTTTCCTATCTTCCTCCCCACTCCAACCCAACAGTTTGGCCCTAAAACAGTTTTTATTTTTTAGCAATAGGATCTTGCTCTGTTGCCCAGGCTGGAGTGCAGTGGCATGGTCTCAGCTCACTGCAACCTTCACCTCCCAGGTTCAGCAGATCCTCCTACCTCAGCCTCCCTAGTAGCTGGGACCACAGACATGCACCACCATGCCTGGCTAATAATTGTAGATTTTGTAGAGAGGTTGTCTGGCTATGTTTGCCCAGGTTGGTCTCAAACTCCTAGGCTCAAACAATCCTCCTGCCTCCGCCTCCCAAAGTGCTGGGATTACAAGCATGAGTCACCACGACCAACGTAAAACATTTTAATCATAATTTACCTTCCCTTAGGGGATCCCTAAAAGACCAACCCCCTGCACCCCAAATGGTCAGATAGAACTGTGCACTAATAGTAGGAACTCAGATACTGTGATGGGCAGAAGGAGAGACATTTCTAGGCTGAGGAGACAATTGTTTGCCTGTAAGACTGTATGACGTCACAGTTAAGAAGTCCATCCTCCCCTCCCAGCAGCTCCAGCACCCCCACCTCCATCTCTGGATTTCCCAGCCTGAGTGTGAAGCTGTTTCCCTCGGGGCTTCACACTCAGGCTTCCGGCTGGCAACTTAGAGCTTGGCATTTCCGATTGCTCAGCCCTCCCTCCCTGAGCCCGTTCTAACTCCACGCCTTCTTTCCTTCTCCAGTGGCACCATCCTTGTCCAGACCACCATTGTCTTTTCTTTGGACAACTACATGGCCCCTAACAGGTCTCCCTCCCAGCCTCCACTCCCACACCTGCAGCCCAGTCTTCATGTGACAGTTGGAAGATGCTTCTAGATCCACACATTGTTTATGTCACCTTCTCTGCCTGGCTTCAGTCCTTCAGGGGCTGCCTGCTGCTCCTGGAATGAAGTTCACATTTCTTACTGTGGTCTAGAGGGTGCTGCAGGACTGGGCCCTCAGTCACCAGCCGCCAGGTTTGCTTCCAGATCCCCCCACCGCAGGGCTTTGCACATACTGTTTCCTTTGCCAGGGACTCTTCCCTGGGCCTCTTCTTCCTTGTCCTTTCAATTTCAGCTCTGGATGCTTCCCCACCCCTCACAGGACCAGGGCCACCTGTCCCAGGTTCTCACTTCCCGAATGCCTCACCTCTGTAACACATTGCAGTGCATGATTTAATCTTATTTATGTTGGCAATTAGCAATGTAGCAGAGTGGTTAAGAGTTCTGACTTTGGGGCTGGGTATGGTGGCTCATGCCTGTAATCCCAGCACTTTGGGAAGTTGAGGCGGACGGATAACCTGAGGTCGGGAGTTCGAGACCAGCCTGATCAACATGGAGAAACCCCGTCTCTACTAAAAAAGAAAATGCAAAATTAGCTGGGCATGGTGGCACATGCCTGCAATTCCAGCTATTCAGGAGGATGAGGCAGGAGAATCGCTTGAACCTGTGAGGCGGAGGTTGAGGTGAGCCAAGATCGTGCCATTGCACTCCAGCCTGGGCAATAAGAGCGAAACTTTGTCTCAAAGAAAAAAAAAAAAGGAGTCTTGACTTTGGAACTAGACTCTGGTTTCAAATCTTTTTTATATGGCTAAGGAAATAAGCAGTTTCCTCATCTGTAAAGTGGAAAAAAAAATGGTATTTACTTGCATCATTGTACTGTGGAGAATAAAAGGAGTTATAGGTGTAAAGTGCTGAGAACTGACCTAGCAGTGGGTAGGCATGAATGACTAAGTGCCAGTGATTATTATCCTCATTGTTAGTGTGATTGGTTCATGACTTCCCACTCCACCACTGTTGGACCCAGCCCCAGTGAACAGGAACCACTTCTGTCCTGTTCACCATTGTCCCCTTTGTGACTGGCACATAGTAGGTGTCAGTGGATGCTGACTGCCTGATGAGACAAGCCAACAAGCATCTGAAAGAAGGGCCATGTTCCTGCAGGCATCCATCATGACAGGCACTGTGCAGAGGGCGGCCCTCGAGGGCAGGCCTGGCCACCGGCCTTGGCAGAGGGGACGGGAGGTACGAGCCTCTCCTGCAGAGATGGAGGAGCTGCTACTGCCTACACCCTTGGAGATGCACAAGGTAGGCACTGGGGGTGAGCACAGGAGACCTGGACCTGTGTCCTGACGCCATGAGCACCGTCATGGGACTCCAGAGAGGCCCTGCCCCTCTTGGGGCTTTATTCTCCTCCACCACAAAACCAGGTTGAGTTTTCCAAAATGCTCATCATTTGGGTGACACACAAACTCATACACATGCACACCTGCGATTCACGCTGGCTATTATTATTTTTCTTTAAGTAGATGTGCTTTTTTTCCCTCCACTTAAGTTATTTTATCTATGTATTTATTTTTTTGAGACAGGGTCTGGCTCTGTTGCCCAGGCTGGAGTGCAGTTGCTCGATCAAGGCTCACTGCAGCCTTGACCTCCTGGGTTCAAGTGATCCTCCCACCTCAGCCCCCCAAGAAGCTGGGACCACAGGCATGCACCACTACACCTGGCTAATTTTTGTATTTTTTTAGAGATGGGGTTTCAACATGTTGCCCAGGCTGGTCTCAAACTCCTGAGTTCAAATAACTTGCCCACCTCAGCCTCTCAAAGTGCTGAGATTACATGTGTGAGCCACTGTGCCTGGCCTTAAGTTGTTTTGTATCTCATACACACATATTTACATATAACATATAAACCCTTCTACATGTGTGTGTGACTTCTATGTATCTCACACAATGAGAAGCGAGTGTCTTGTGCCATCTATAGGTCATTATGTAAAAATAAGATGGCTTGGTGGCTCATGCCTGTAATCCCAGCACTTTGGGATGCCAAGGCGGGTGGATCACAAGGTCAGGAGATCAAAACCATCCTGGCTAACATGGTGAAACCCCGTCTCTACTAAAAATACAAAAATTACCTGGGCATGGTGGCGCGCGTCTGTAGTCCCAGCTATTCGGGAGGCTGAGGCAGGAGAATCGCTTGAACCCCGTAGAAGGAGGTTGTAGTGAACCGAGATCGCGCCATTGCACTCCAGCCTGGGTGACAGAGTGAGACTCCAGCTCAAAAAAAAAAAAAAAGATGAGGAGGACAATCCCTAGCCAATGGCCCTCAGAAGCTCTGAGCTCTTTGGTAAATGGGAATGAGTGAGGGTCAGGGAAGGTAACAGTGCCCTGGGCAGGCCTCCTCCCTGATGGAGCCAGAGGACTGAGAAAGGGCTGAAAGGAAGTCACTCCTAAGGGCTCCCTTGTACTTGAGTGTTGTGGCTTGGAGCATCTGCTGTGGGAGAGAGGAGGAGGGGTTGGGGGTGGGTGAAGGCCAAGGGGCAGGAGGCTGGGGCACTGCAGCCTGGGGGGTGTGGTTGACCAGAGGCGCTGAATGCCAGACCAAGGGATCTGGGCTACTGTGAGAGGCTGGAGCCAAAGGTCAGAGTCCCAGGAACCTCCTCCTCCTGCTTCCAGGTGACCCTGCACAAGGACCCCATGCGGAATGACTTTGGTTTCAGCGTCTCAGATGGCCTCCTGGAAAAAGGCGTCTATGTCCACACTGTGCGCCCTGATGGGCCAGCCCACCGTGGGGGCCTCCGGCCCTTTGACAGGGTCCTGCAGGTAACGCTGGGGCAGGGGCTGCATAGTGGGGGTGGCATTGTTTCCTAGCCTGAGGGTGGGGAAAGAGCCTGCATCTATCACCTGTGAAGAGGGTAGGACAATGCAAGTCGTCTGAGTCAGGTTAGCCTAAGTTGCGATGCGGGCCCCAGCACCCTGAGCCTCAGAGGCTGAGCACACACAGACCTTTTTTCTTACACCCCATGCCCACTGCGGGCCAGTGGGGGCCTTCCTCTCCCAGGGCTGATGGAGCATCTGCCCATCTTGGAACTGACTCTCTGAGACACGTGGCCTCTTCAGACTCCACAGCAGAGGAAACAGACTGGAAAGTCACACGTAGATATTTTTCTGCCTTCACCCAGAAGCAACACTCATCACCTTGCTTCACGGCCGATGGACCAAACCCTCATGTGACCTTCCTAACCGCGAGGGAGCCTGGGAAGCGTGGGGCATCCTGTGCTGGGCACCCCGTGCCACCCCTTCTCATGCCCTGGCTATTTTTGCTCCCTCAGTGTGTTTTTTAGCATATTTATATGAAATTTACTAATTCATGTTTTCTCTAAATTGATGGCACTTTTTCAATTTACATTGACTTTGAAAGGAAACTTTTTATCTCCATTAGGAGTGCAAATCTAGCACCCCCTGCTTTGAAATAGAAAGTGGGTGTAAAATGCAAATAAAATAGAAAGAAGACAATGTCATGTCACACAGTTCTAGGCAGGAGGCTCTCTGAGTGTGTGGTCTGCTCTTTCATGTGAGAAAGGGAGAAAAACAGGAGTTAGAGGGGTGTGAAGGGTATACCCGCCCCTTCCTAGGACTTTCTCTTTGATGAAACCTAACAGAAGGACTGAGAGAGAAAGAATGTTCCTGTGTGTGTGGTGCTGGAGATGTCAGGGCTTGTGTCAAGGCTGGGACAGGGCCCACCTTTAGGACATCACATGCCTCTCGCTCCCTTCAGCCCGGCAAGGCTGACACCTCGGCTCTGTTCCCTTGGTTGTGCCCCATGCAGGTCAACCACGTCCGTACACGGGACTTCGACTGCTGCCTGGCGGTGCCGCTTCTAGCTGAGGCGGGCGATGTCCTGGAGCTGGTCATCAGCCGCAACCCGCTGGCACACAGCAGCCGGGCCCCCCGAGCGCCAGGCCCCAGCAGTCCCCGGATGCTCTGAAGTCAGCATGTGGGCCGAACTCCTAAGGGACCACCCAGGCAGATCCTGGATCCCAGACATGTAGCTGGGCTGGAGAAGCGGCCACCCACTCATTCATCTGTTGGTCTGGCAGACCCTGAGCCTGGGGTGACGCTTGGCCTCTGTTCCCCAGGTCTGTGGTGACTGGGGTGCCAAGCAGGGAGGCCTGCCCAAGTTGGAGTGACAGCTGGGGTCTCTCACCAAGTTGGGTCTCCAAGATGCCCAGAGGAGCCTCCCTTAAGAAGGGTTGGCACAGGCTGCTCAGCCGAGAGGAGAGAGGCCTGGGGGCTGTCCCAGGTCCCTGTGGGGCCTCCTTGGAGAGGTCGAAGACGTAGGGAGCACTTCCTCCCAGCAGAGCCATGGAGCTGGAATAAGCTGCAAGGAGGAGTGAGTTCTCGGTCACAGGAGGTGAGCAGGCAGGAGCTGGATACCCCAGCGCAGGCATGCATTGGGGCATGAGGCATTCCCATGATGCGTGAACACGCGCTCGGGGGATTGGCTTCCTGATGGGGAGCCACTTCCTCTAGAGACTCGGCCACCACAAGGATACTGCTTCAGATGGGAGCCCAGCTCCTTCGCTTCTCCAGAATGGGGGTTTGAGGCTTGCTAGTCCTGAGATTCTCAGATTCCCAGAATCTGGTCCCCACTTATGAGACGCTTAAGTTGGGGCGTCTGGGATCCCAGGAAGTGTTGGCCCTTTGATTCCGAAAGTGGGTGATTCTTTCATTTCAGCATCTCAGTCTGAAGCTTCTGGCACTTGAGACTGGTTCTGGGCCCATTGGGCAGGCTCTGTGGGCCTTGGGCTCTCAGCCCTCCTGCTTCTGTAGGCTGTGTGGCCACTGACCCATCTGCACGCCCACTCAGCCCAAGCCCCTCCTTGTGGGAGGAGTCATTTTTGGGACAAAAGACCCTGGAGCTTCCATTCGCCTGCCATCCAATGAAGACTGAAAAGTGATGGACACAGGACCTGTGAGGCATAGCACTTGTCTTTACAGCCAGATCAGTGGAGGAAGAGGAGAAAGAGGGAGGGAGATGGGAGAGAGATGGGCCAGAGGAAAAGATGGGACACTCTTGCCCAGTGGAGGGTGTCCAAAGTGCTTATTCAAAGAAGTCTATTCCCACTTGAAATCTGGAAGCACCAGCATCCCTTAAAATCATTGTCCTCAGTGTCCACAAATCAGAGACCCTCTTCATTTTGAGAAGGGTGTGGGCCTCCCTGGCTGGTCTAGCGAGTGGTGCCTGGGGTGGAGTGGGCAGGCGGGTGTAGCCAGGGCTGGAGATGTGCTTTGCCTGGCCCAGCTCTCACAGGGGTCTCTGGAAAATGGGGCACCCACTCCCACCTCCACCTGTCTCCAACCTGGGATCCTGGAGGCCGGAAAAGTGCTCTTCCATTTGAGAGAACAAATGGGGAGTCAAGAGGTCTATTCTTTTCACCCTGGGTCTGTTACCTGTTTGCTGTGTGACCCTGTCTGGGTTGGACCCCCAGCCCCTCTGGATGATCACAGGTGGACAGTCTGAGCAGACACAGGCTTCCTGGTCAGGGACAGAACCAGGTCTACCAACCCACCAAGGCACCCTTGGGGAACTGCCCACGCTGTCTCCCGGGGGCCTGCCTCCCTTACCCCTCCCCTCCACTTCCCCAGGCCCTGCCCCTCGGTGCCCTCCCTGAGGGCCCTGCATGCTTGTGCCTGGGGTGCTCAGCACCTCTGCTATCTTGGATACCTGTGTACTTAGCCCAGGGGGAAAGGGCACTGTCTACCTGTCACAGGGCACCAAGCGAAAGCCAAGAGCCCTCACTTTGCGGGGGAGGGACAGCACAGCAGAGGTGTGGCTTCTGGACACAAGCAACCATAGCTGTGTGACCTTGGACAGGTGGCTCAGCGTCTCTGGACCTCTGCTAAGCAGCAGGGCTGGACAGGACACACTCTCAGGGGCCTCTTGGCTTGGGAAAACTGCATTGACTCCAGGACTCCAGGCGAGGGAAGATGCACCCGACTCTAACCAGTACCCCCTCTGCCTCCTCACTCTAACCAGTACCCCCTCTGCCTCCTCGGGCTGAGGCCTCTGCCATTCTCCCAAACGTATGCAATCAGGCCCGCGCTGGGCCTCCCAGCCATGCCGGCCTCCTCATATGCAATATTTCTTCTGGCTTCTCGTGGGGATGGGTCATCCCTGACTTGACATTTCCTGACACCTTTCCCCAGTGAGCGCCCTGCCTGCCTATGCATTTTGGGAACAGCCCCTGTGACATGTCCCCTTACACCGCCCCCTCCCCCAAAGCTGTATTTTTCTCTGGCTGAGATTAGAACATATTCCTTGTAAAATATTTTTCTACATCGGGTTTTCTTAGGGCTCTTGGGAAGCACAAACGCCAAGGGGCTATATTGCAAAGGCCGCTTATGGTCTGTTTGGGGCCCTCATCTAAGTCTTTGTCCCACCAGGGGTTGCAGTGGCTTGGGGTAAGTGCTATGGGGATGATTTTTTTTAAAAATAAAATTATTTAAATCCACCTAGAGTAGAAGTTTGCTTTTTTAACAAAATCATGGGTTGGCAAGTCAGCTTCCGTATGGGTCTGGTAACATCTCACCTGATTTTGATGATTCATTAATTCAAAAAGTTTGCCATTTGCTTCCATCATCCAGCCCCTGGGCAACATGAATCAGACAGATTTAGGTCATGTCTGCACATTCTGGTGGCAGGAAGACAATCAACAAGTAAGCAAATAAATAATTATTTCAAAAGGCATCAAATGCAACAAGGCAAACAAAAAGGAGTAATGGGATAGAGACACCAGGGTGAGGGGCTTTAGCTCACAATGTTAGGAGGGGTTTCTCTCAAGAGGCGACATTTGCAATGAGACCTGAAGACAGGAGCCAGCCTCCGTGGAGACCTGGAGGAAGAGTATCTCAGGAAGTGGACACAGCCAATGCAAAGGCCCTGAAATAGGAACGAGTTTGATGGTTTCAAGGAAGAGAAAGAAGGCCTGGGAGGGGAATGAAGCTGGAGACTAGGTTGGAGGTAGCAGGGATCGGGGGGAATGGATTTGATTCTCTGTGCAGCGGAAAGCCAGAGGCAAACAGTGGTGCCTGCGTATGGAGTCTCTTTAGCCCAGGTTGGGAAGGTATTGGCAGGAGGGCAACCTGGGTCTGGCTGCTCTGCTGCAGTGTCCAGAGAGTGTCTAGGGCAGGTGAGCTGTGGGGTCTGGGACTCAGAGGCCAGGGCCAGGCCCCACTGGGGAGGCCACAGCTCTGTGAGCAGAGGAAGAGTTTTTTTCCGGGAAGCGAGTATCCTGTCTTGGGAGCGGTGTAGGCAGGGGAAAGGCCAAGGCAGGCAGCAGGCACTGCTCTAAGCCCTTTGCAAGAACTTGCTGGATCCTCCCAATAGCCTTCGGAGGTGGACTCTATTCTTGTCCCATCATTACAGATGAGGAAACAGGCACAAAGAGGTTGAGTAACTTGCCCAAGGCCACACAGGTAGTAAGGGATGGAACCAGGGCTTGAACACAAGCCACATGGCCAGGACACATAGAGGGAGGGAGGTAGGCAGACGCTGTCAGAAAGAGCCAGAAAATGGGGGTAGGGTGGTCTTTTATTCTAACGTTGTCTGTAAATGAGTTACTGAGAATTTTATCTGGTTAGTTGGGCAAAGGACTCAACTGACTCCCAAGTTTGTCCATCCCAAAGGGTGGGGGGGCTGTTGACAGGAAGGCTGCCCCGAACATGGACCTGTTCTGACCCCAGAGAGCCTTAACTGGGTATTAATGAGTGCCTGCACCTGGTGGTGGGGAAGTGGGAGAAGGGCAATCAGGTTTGCTTCTCCTCTATGCTTCCCCCACCCCGCCACCCACCACCTGCTTTCTGCACTTCCGACAGGGCAGCCCAAGGAGGGACTGAAAGCCGCAGCAGGTGAGCACCTAAGGCTAACAGCATCACCTCCAATCATCCTGGTGGCCTTGATGGGGACAATGGTTTGGTCCAGATGGGGAAACTGAGGGTCAGGTGACTGCTGCCAGATCTCCCAGTTGTACAGGGCTGGGCATGTAGCAGGTAGAATCAGTAGAACCAGTAGAGCCAAGAGCTTGTGGGCCCGGGTGCGAATTCAGGTTCTTTCATGGACTTGCTGTGTACCCCGAGCGAGAAAGCTGCTTCCTTTGTGAGCTTCCATGTCGGAACCTCTAACCTGGGATAATACCTACCTTTGAGGAGCGTCCTGGGATTGGACGGGAAGCCCTTTATAAAATGTAAAGCGTTTTATAACACAGAACACAACCCACACATGTTGGATGTTAAAAAGGAAATGTTTATTTTCGTGTTATAAGGTGATTACAAACTCCTCTAAAAAAAGCAAAGATGAATTTAAAATATCGATATACATATTTATCTAAAAAGCAAAAGAGAAAAAAACCCCTGCAAATACAGGGAATCATATCGTAAAACATTTATACAGAAAAGCTTGTATACTGCAAGACTGAACTACACACCAAGGATCTTGTTCAAATACAAATGTTCCTCCTCAGAAGAGTCTCTTGTTGGTTGATTTTTTTTTTATACAAAAGTTTAAAATACCTTAAAAATATTTTGAAGTTTTAAAAAAATGTCCTGATGAGCCAGACATATTTCTGGAAGGAGGCAAGACCCACGTTCTCAGTTTTCTCTTGTGCTAAATACAGAGTCACAGTTGCTAGGGATTGGGAGATTAATTGGGTAAAAAAAAAAAATGAAGCCAACATTTCAATTTGAAGTCAAATATATAACAGGATGCTCCATCCCTCGGAGAACATGCCAGAACATGTCTGTAGTGACACCCACAAGGGAACAATGAAAAAATGCTTCCTATTACAATGATATATATTCTGAGGGTCAGGGAGAGAAGGAAAGGGGGAGGGCTTCCCCCTGCTTTCTGGACTGCCCACCTCTACAAGTTTTGCTCTCTGGGTTTGTTTTGTTTAGTCTTGTGGTTTTGTACTTCGATTTTTGCACACAGTGGTATTTACTGCATCTACATAGACAGCCTGGCCTGGGACCACATGGGTCTGAGGGATGGATGGGACCTCAGGCCACCTTGAAGGATTTTCTCTCGGGTCCTTTCCTGGCTTCTGTCTGAGTCTTGGGTGGGGTGGGGTGGGGGGAGCAGTTAGGTGCCTGTGCCTTTAGACTGGCTACCCATAGCATTTCCCCAGGGAGAGGGGCTGTGCTGGGAGATGCTGGCTGGGTAGGGGACCATTGTGTGGTGGTACCCGGGCGATACAAGAGTGCCCTGAACTGGGCTGGGGGGCTATGCTGTACTCTGCCCTTGTGTTTCCCCGTCTTTGGGGGTGTGCTGGGGATCTGGGGGGCAGTGAAGGAGCTGCACATGGCCCAGGGGTTATGCTGTCCTGGAAGGAGAGCATCCAAGGCCACTTCCTGCTGCCTGGAAACTCCTTGCAGAGCCTTGGGTCAGTCTGGAGCCAGGGCGACTTCATCTAAATCCTGCCTAAGGATCTGGCACACCTCTGGCTTCTCTGCACCTCAGTTCCCTCTTGCACAAACAGGGATCTCAATTCCTAGCTCACCAAGGGCTGCTGGGAGGAAGGAGGGCCCCGTGCAGGGCTGGGGTGTGCAGGCGAGGCTGGAGTCACCCAGCTCACCGAGCCACAGTATGGGTCCAGTTCTGCGAGGATGTGGGAGTGTGGGTGCTGCTGCTCCCCTCATCCCTGAACATGGAGGGGAGGGCATTTCCTTTTCCATAAAGGCTTATCTTTGGTTGTCAGGAAGACTTTGAGGATGTTGCTGGATGTAGCCCTGGTCATACATTCACCATTCCCTGCACCTACCTCGGAGAACCTGCAGTTAGAGCTGTTTCAAGAAAATCCATTCCTGGCTCACAGTGCCTCCCTGGGCCTCAGCTACCTCATTTACATCAAGGGCATTGGGTTAGGGGACCCTGGAGGCCCTTCTCTCCCTGACCATCAGGAAATCTCCACTGTGGCCCTAGCATGGCCCATCTCAACGCAGCATCTCCCACTTCATCTTAAAAAGTTGCTTTAAACAACCCCCTCGTTTCCTTTCCAGATCTGGCTGGCTGGGCTATGTGCGAGCACCAGCATTTCTGATCCATCCCAAGCAGAAAGCAGGTGAAGGACTTTGCCCATTCTCTATAGACAGGTGGACCAGAGTCATGAGCTCTCACGGAAAGTTTCGTTCAGACGGAGACATGAAGGTTAGGCATTATTACACAGGTACTCACAGAGCTACGCTCTGCACACAGAGCCAGGGCTGGGCGAGAGGGCTCTGATTGGAGACAGGTGCCTTGGGGAGGGTCGAGGAACGGCTTGGGGAAGGTGGCCGGCCTTCCTTCCAGGCGGGGCCTGGGGACTTGGTCTGCATGTGTCTTTGGTCTAGAATTTGGTCTTATAAGAAGAGGCCTTCCTCAGGCCATGTCCAGAATGTTACAATTTGCCTACCAACCCAAAATACTGTGGCCTTTCACCCAGGGAGCCCCTGCTGGGGAGATGGAGACTGAAAAGACCACAAATGCCCAGGTAGCCACTGCGTGCCAAGCCCCCTCTTCCTCACATGCCACCTGCCCTCAATCATTGACAGTGGTTAGTTTACTAAAGTTATATAAGACAAAGGAAAACAGGTCACAATGCTACTCCATAAAAACAGGGAAAAAACAGTAAAATCAAATCAGACACAACGGCAACCATAAATACATAGAAAACTAGGAACAAGTTAAAATCGTTGAGAGTTTGGAATAGGACTGGGTGTTGTTTGACAGAGTAGATAGCTCTGGAAACAGTGAAATGTGTATGCCTGCCAAAGATGGGGTTCAGAATTGCCCCTTGGGAGGGGGGCACCAAAGGCTTATCCCTCCTCCCAAATTTAAGAAGGGGTTTCCAGGGTTCCAAGAGCCCCTGCTGTGAAAACTCTCCGGTGTGCACCCCTCGAGGCAGTCAGTCACTGCCTATGTGCGTGGTCGTGTTTCGGTTTCATTTAGACTGAGCTTGGAAGTGACTGTTCAAATGGCACAGTTTAGGTCCAAATAGGGGCCGGGTGGGGTGTGTCTGCCCACGGGATTTGAAAGGTATAGTACCTTCTCTCCTGGTTCAGAGACAACCTCTGCTCCACATAAGGCCCTTGGTCAAGCCAGTTCTGGGGGCCAGGACCCTGACAATCCCAACCTTCTAGAAAACTCTCCTAGGCCTTCTCTTTTGGGTCCCCAGGTGGTAAATGTCTGACACCAGCTATTGCAGGGGTTTTGAAGTCAAGAGCTTTGTTATATCCTAGGTCAGCACCACGGGCTGCCCTTGTTCTGAACTGGGAGCACTTCCCCCAGTGGAGGATCCAGACTCAAAAGCTGCTCTTGCTGTGCCTTGTTAGGTGCCAGGGCAGCCTGGGGTAGCATCTTTAATGAGGGCTTGGCAGGAGTCTCCCAGGCTGAGCGTGGGGAGTGGGGAGATGAGGAAAGAAAGCACCCCTCCCCGACACCGGGCCCATCTGCATGCCTGGGGCCTATATCCTTCGATCC